ATGCTGCTTGTCCATCTGTCCTTCCAAGTAGGTGACAATTCTGAAAAAAGACATGGCCACTGATCTGCTACAAGTGTTTGTCAGACCATGAGTACTCTATGCCTGCCACTCTAGCAGACATGTGAACTGGAGAATAGACAGCCAGCCCTGGAGTCAATGGAAGCCAGTCCACAGTGCATACCAGGACCACCTTCAGCAGCAGTGGAGACTAGAGTTTGTGCTCTGGTCACACGGGGTACTTGGGGGCCGAACAATGGCCCCGACTGCACCCAGGTGCCCAGTCCCCACGACATGGTTTCTGCTCATCTTCATTTGCTCTTTAGTTCCCCGAGGGTGCTGGAGCCATGCCCTGGACTGCAGCCTGCTTCACTGCACTGTGACAAACTGCCCTTTGCCATCTGCCGGCTGGTACCCTGCTTTAACCTGAATGGGTGCCCTGGAACCAGGAGGCTGCCACCTGCCTCTGGGCACAGCTGCCACCTAGCTGTGGCTGCGGGGCCTCCACGGGGCTTGTCTGGACCCATCAGGTCAGATATGCGGAAGCTACACACCGTCACTTCAGGGGCACCCTGTGTTCAGGTGAGCCCTCATGGCACTCCAGTCCAATATCTTAAGTAGTCCTCCTTTATCCTCCTCATAAGTACATTGAACTTATGAATGAATGAATGAATGAGCTTATGGACTTATAAGCTTAATCTCTAAAACTTTCATCAATATCAACTCTAATCATTTTATTAATCAGGCAATAAAGGCATTGGTCTTGTGGCCAACGAACTGATTAAGGGCATAGAAAACTAGTTAAGATGTTTCAAAAAGGAGTTGCCAAAAAAAAAAAAACACCACACACACAATCTAACTTAAGAATAGGTTCATAGACAAAATATTCTATTTATTATGGAATTTGGGTGCATTTTATCATGCTCTAGGGCGGGGCATCTAATTGTGAGTAAGCCACTGACCTGTGAATGTAATCTCACAGCAGCCCCACCCTGATCACATTTCCCAAACTCATTTTCACTCTCAGCCACTACTTGATATGGTGCCATGGTTACTAATTGCATTAGTAATCATTAGTAAGTACCTCTAACATTTGTTGAATAACTGAATGAATAGAAGAATGAATAAAGAAGACAATTAATAAATCCTCCAATACAAACATATTCACAGATTTTAAAAAATCAGAAATTGTTGATTCATGGGTATTGAAATCCAGGTTTGCTAGATGAAAAAGTTCTGGAGACCAGAACTATTGTTACACAACAGTGAGAATACGCTTAACACTACTGAACTCAAAAATAGTTAGGATGGTAAATTCTATTATGTGTTTTTTACTGCAATAAATTAAAAAATACCATACCAAGTTTTAAAAATCAGAAATAAAATGTATAGAAAAGTTCAGAATATGTCTACGGTAGCTATCTGAAACTCAAGGAGGCCACACTTAAACTTTCATCAGGGTAGCCCTGGCTTCTTCAGCTTTCATTTTCATATATTATTTGTTACTTCTTTCTTGAATTCTATTTTTTGGAGTCCATAATTGAAAGTTCCATTATTTGAATTCTCATAATTGGAGAATTTGATGGTTCCAATTATAAGGACAAAATAAGACAGACAACATCTGAGGGATATACTTACAGTGGAGAACAAGAAAGTGTTAAATTATACTTTAGTGTGTAATTTTCAGGAATTTTTACAGTTGAAAGCAGAGCAATTCTTGGTTTGCGTAGAGCAGTGGCTGCTAACACAGGCTCTGAAGCCAGCTGAGTCAACACTAGCCCCAGCACTAACAAGCTCAATTTCTTTGTGCCACAGTTTCCTCACCTTCAAAACAAAGTTAATCATTTTTAAAAAGCTTAAAAAAGTATTTACCTCACTTATGAAATGAGAACAATCATTTTAAAAAGCTTACGCAAAGATTTTACTTTTGAATTTTACTTAAGAATTTATTCCATTTTTACAAACTGAGAAACTAAACTTTACTTTTAACAATAGGCTCGAGTTTTAACAAGTAACTTCTCAATTACAGTAAGTAATAACTCTTCAGTACATAATTCTATAATCACCTATGTATGATCCCCACATTCAAAAAATAACCACTGTTAAACACTTTGTTGGTACATAACACATATCAAATATATTTTACCTTGTGTTTGGATCTTATTTCCTCTTTAATGTACCATGAGCATTTTCTTAAATTGATATATATTTTGAGATTTCCTGGTGGCTCAGACAGTAAGAACCTGCCTGCAACGCGAGAGACCCAGGTTCGATCCCTGGGTTGGGAAGATCCCAGAAGAAGGCAATGGCAGCATTCCAGTATTCCTGCCTAGAGAATGCCAGGGACACAGGAGCCTGGTGGGCTACTGTCCATGGGGCTGCAGGGGTTGCAAAGAGTCAGACATGACTGTGCAACTAACATTTTCACATTAACTTTTCATACAATTTAGAATAAAATCCAGAGTCCTCTGCTTGGCCTACAAGCTCCCATGTGATCCCAGCCTCCTGGTTTAAACCTGGCTCCTCTCCTTTCATCCCCCACCTTCCTGACTGAGTTCCAGACAGTGCTGAGCCTTCCCTTTGCACTCCCCACATCCTCTCTCTAAAAACCTCTTCCTCCAAGTTTTTACAAGGCTCACTCCCTCACCTTCTTCATGCCTCATCTTCTAAAAGGTGAACAGTGTATGCAAAGTAGCAACTGCTACCTATTCCTTTGCCTTACTTTTCATCACAGCATTTACCACTACTTCGTATGTTACAATAGCTAGGAATGGTCAAGGCCTGTTTTTCCCAGTAGAATCTTAGTGTCGCAAGGAAAATATTTTGTCCATCTTGCTAGCTGTTTTATCTCTAGGCATTAGATCCTAAACAAATACTTGCTAAACGAATGAATTTGGCTCTAATTTGTAATTTCGTGACTGCACAGAACTCTGTTGTAGAGGTATTGCTTAATGTTGCTAATCCTTTGCTTTGAGACATCATAAATTGTCCTGCAGGGACTTCTCTAGTGGTCTAGTGGTTAAGACTCCATGCTCCCAAGGCAGGGGGCACCAGTTCAAACGCTGGTTGGGGAACTGACCTCCCACATGCCACAGGTGCAGCCAAAAAAAAAAAAAATTGTGTTTTTTTGTGGGTTTTTTTGCTATGGATATGCTCAAATATATTCTTTGAAAATACTCTTGGATTGTTCCTTCAAGGCGGAATTAGTGCAGCAGCTTCCTATCCATTCCCCCTCCTCCTCCCACGGGGTGTCTCACAGCGAGACTCCTATCGCACTCCTCTCCTGAGACTGAAGGGACAGATGCCCAAACTCTGAACGCCGGCACATTTCCAGTTTGCCTTTCCATACACACTCAGTCCCCGTCACTACGGGGTGTCTCACAGCGAGACTCCTATCACACTCCTCTCCTGAGACTGAAGGGACAGATGCCCAAACTCTGAACGCCGGCACATTTCCAGTTTGCCTTTCCATACACACTCAGTCCCCGTCACTGCTCAGAAATATACTTGCCACTTTAGCCAAGTTGCTGCACCTATCACTTCCTCTAATTTTGCTTTGGTCTATGTAGTTCCATTTACAGAATATATTCCTGTTTCTTTACCTGACTAAATTATACCTATCTTTCATGTCCCCCACAAGTCCCCTTTTTTTTTCCTTTTTTTACATCTTATCTTTTTTTTTTCTTGGCCTCTCTGTGTACCATGTGGGATCTAGTTCCCCGACCAGGGTTCAAACTTGTGCCCCCTTGCATTTGGAGCCTGGCGTCTTAGCCACTGGACTACCAGTGAAGTCCTCCCCACACCAGTTCCTTCTGGCTCCATCTTGCCTTCCTTGAATCTAGGACCTATGATCTCTCACTTCTTTGAATGGTTCTGCTCTTCATACCTATCACCCAAGACAGCCCTTGACCATCAGCCACGTTCCAGTACCTACCATGCTGTAGAATACAATGTGCAATCTCCTGAGGCACAAAAGCCTTTTCCCCGCTCCTTTCTCAAAGTCCTAGGCAGTTCTAGCCATAAAACAGCAAATATTTTCTAACTTAACCCTATTGCCCAAAACTCTTGTGGAAATGAGAGTGCTCTAAGGGGAGAAATAGAATTATTTCTGATCAAATATTTTCATCTTCCCATATATTTGGTTTGTAAATGATCTAACCACTATTCTTCCACAAATAACTTTAATTCTTAAATTTCTACTCACAATCCTTATTAAACCACCATAAGAAATATGTTTCTGATGAATTTGTTGTTTTGTCTCAGACTTTGGCTTGTCTTAATATAATATTATTAAGCACGACATTATTTATAAAGAAACATTTCCTTCAGAAATTATTATAAAACCACAACAAGTGGTATCTGAGTTATAGATTGTATACATGGGATTTGGCAAGTTAGGAAAATCACCATATGTGCCTTTCCTTTTTCCCATTTTCAAACATGAGAAATCAAGTTAAAATGAATGAAAAGGTCTATACGAAAGGAAAGATAATTTGAAACGGTGTAATGTGGATGAAAGATGTACTTGGAAGACTGGGAAGAAGTTTTGTCTCCATGATGATGCTGCTGGGAACTCTAGGCAGAGTGCTAAGCTGGGGTATGAGTGTAGCAATACAGAGGCTGAGTCCAAAGTCACATCCTTTTGCTTTTTAATCTGAATAACTTACATTCTTCCCAGGTGGCACAGTGGTAAAGAATCCACCTGCCAAGGCAGGAGACGCAAGAGGAGGCTCAATTCAATTCCTGGATCAAAAAGATCCCCTGGGTGAGGAAATGGCAACCCACTCCAGTATTCTTGCCTGGAGTATCCCATGGACAGAGGAGCCTGGCAGGCTACAGGCCATGGGGTGGCAAAGAGTTGGACACGACTGAGCACACAGCACACACAACTCACATTCTTACACCAAGCCTCGGGTCTTTTTCTCCACCCCTACATGCTTTCTGGTTGCCTGGACTCAAGAGTCTCCAAAGCCCCTAGGGCAGCCTGGCAAAAGGCTACTCACCATCTTCCTCGAAGAGCAGCCCCATATGTCCACGCGCCTCGGCTTCTTTCTTCCCACCATCAATTTTGATGACTTGGGCAATCTTAAAACATCGTTCGTAGAAGTGGTTTCTTACCCACTTGTCTTCAGAATTATTGAAGTAACAGGCCAGAGCATACAAGTTATTATAGACCTCTTCAAAGTATTCTTCAAAGAGAGAAAAACATCAGAAAATGCATTAGAAAAATGTCTCAAGGCACATCTCTTCAAATGGCAAACCAATATAGTGACATTTAGTTTCTATTTTTCTTTAAAAGCATGATTAACTATTTAAAAACTGGAAATGTAAAAATTAATGTGTTTTAACTATTAAACTAGTTATATTAATTAAAGGATGTACACATGAGAAAAACAACAACAACAAAATCTTTTGAAGAGCTTAGACTGATATACTCTTTGGTTGAAATAGTAGTCTTCATATAAGACAAAAAGCAGAATGGTGCCTGCTAGCAATGGGCTAGGTTCTTTTGGAATAAATGAGTGTATGGTATCGGCAAGTACTTATCCCACTGAAGATTTGAAAAGTATTTAGAGATTCCAGAGAAAGCAATATGTCCTAACCATGGCAAAAAGATAAAGGAAGAAAGCAGATGAAATCTAAAAATATCAAGGTATTTTCACCCAAAAGAAAAAGCAAGCATGCAGCTTATAGATAGACACAAGAAATGATGATCACTGTATGTTCCATACACTTTACAGCACCATTTCTGACAGTACAAGTTATTAGCAACGTTAAGAAACAGTGGATTTCTAGCATTATCTTTTCTATGAGTATCTTCTTCTGCTGAAAATGTGTTAATACTACTCACCCCTCTCACTCAGAAAGTTACCAGTTTATTAGTTGTCAGTTTATTAAATCCCTCTTTTTTCCCCTAAAGTGGCAAATATCTGACCTATTTGTACACAAAAAAGTATACTGATAAACTGTAAATCAGTCTTACAAACTCCACTGCAAACAGTCATACACTTAAACAAAAATGTTTGTGCTATACTGTGCTTCACTCCTGTAGAATTCATTCTATTGGAAGACATGAACAAATTCATAATCTTTGCCTTTCTTTGCATTTGTGCTAAAAACACAGTCATAAATAAATGGTAGGCTATGGATTACCCTTCCGAGGACTTTTTACAGCAATCACTATCTGTTGGAATTAAATGATATTAATTGCTCACTATTATCAGAAGTGTCAATCTATATACGCCTGAAAGAATTACAATTATGAAAAGCGTTTATATATTGCCCATTGGTACTCCTATAAGATTAAAGTCAAAAAGCTCAGAAAAAATTGACATTAGGCTGATTACAACAAAAATTAACTTTTGAAAGCTGTACATAAGTCATTCCAGTGTTCCCAAAGAAACTTAAGACCTACGTAATGCAAGCTTTTACACACTGCGCGTGTGCTGTGCGGCGCTCAGTCACTCAGTTGTGTCCAACTCTTTGCAAACCCATGCAGCTTGCCAGGCTCCTCTGTCCAAGGAGACTTTCCAGGCAAGAATACTGGAAAGTGTAAGTGAAAGTCACTCAGCCATGTCCGACTCTTTGCGACCCCTTGGACTATACAGTCCATGGAATTCTCCAGGCCAGAATAATGGAGTGGGTAGCCTTTCCCTTCTCCAGGGGATTTTTCCAACCCAGGAATCAAACCCAGGTCTCCTACATTGCAGGCTGATTCTTTACGAGCCGAGCCACAAGGAAGCCCAAGAATACTAAAGTGGGTGGCCATTTCCTCCTCCAGGAGATCTTCTTGACCCAGGGATCTAATCCACGTCTCTTGCATCTCCTGCATCGGTGGGTGGATTCTTTATCACTATGCCAGCCAGGAAATCGCTGCTTCATAATTCCATAGGACATTAAGATTTATCTCAAAATAAGTTTTAGAACTAAAAATTAAAGTTAAAATACATTCTCCCTATTCCCCAGTTTTGAAGGAACTGGAGATTCTGTAGAGATTTTCTGCCTTTTAAGGTTATTCACAATATGCAATAGCTTAGGTGAAAAGTAGGAGGTAAAATCCTGAGCAATTTACTTAAAACAAATACTCTCATTTCAGAACTGACTTCTCTTGTGCTTTATCTTTCCATTCTGGACCTGTGCCTAATATGAATATAGCATTAAAATCTGTTTTGTAATATTTTATATTCTTTCTCATATATAGTGATTGAAAGTGAAAGTGAAAGTGAAGTCGCTCAGTCATGTCCCACTCTTTGCAACCCCATGGACTGTAGCCTGCCATGTTCTTCCACCCATGGGATTTTCCAGGCAAGAATACTGGAGTGGGTTTCCATTTCCTTCTCCAGAGGATCTTCCCAACCCAGGGATTGAACGCTGGTCTCCCACACCACAGAGAGACTTTTTACCATCTGAGCCACCAGGGAAGCCCATATATATAATGATTAGAGAGCTGCTATTTTTAAAACCTGTAAATAAACCATTTCATATCTTCCATTTTAAAACGTCATACAAAGAGCTTTTAAAAAAGATATATGCAAACCTAAAATAATTTTCCGTTTTTCAGTAATTAAGCTTTAATAGAAAAACATTTCCAACATTTGATAAAGTTTTTGGTTTTGCTTAGAAGCTATTTAGGTTACATATTTAAAGACTACTTGTCAGCTAAGCTTTCTTCTATGGAAAAATGGAAAGTTTTGAACCTCTGAATAATCCAAATACATGGTTTATACCCTTTACATCCTAAGCAGCATTTTCTCCTTGCCTGCACATTTCTTCAAATTGTCAGCAGGTATATTAATAAGATGAAAATCAATTTTATTGTTGATTTATTCTTTAGACCAATATTCACTATGCTACCTTAAAAGGAGATCTCATGATGAAACAAATTTGGAAAATGCTCCTACTAATTTCTCTCTTTTGGTGAAACACACAACACATTAACATGTCAAAGGCTCTGATAAGTCCTGCAATAAACCAACCTGCTTAATGTATATGTTAATTCACAGGGTTGTTTCTCAAACTTATTTCACCAGACACTCACTTTTGTTTTTCTTCACATAAACTGTATAAACATCCAGTGGGACTCTGCTTGAGTAAAACATACTTTGGGTATCTTAAATAAATGTTATTAATGAAAAAAAATTGCTGCTTAACCCTTGACAATAATTTAAAGTCAAGTGTAAATAATGTTTGAATTATCTATTGATTCGGTTACCCATTACCATTATTGCCATCTCTTCCTCAGCCCCATGGGGCACCAGGCCCTAATCATGTTACAGATGGTACAGAAATGATTCATATTGGGTCATATAAGAAAGATATCAGGGACAAAGAAATACTTTGTAACAAATGGAAAATAATCCAAAAAGAATGACTGGCTTCCTTTAAACACTTCTTTGTTATGAAACAGAAAGTGATATTTTGAAAAGTAATTTAAATAACTCTAGGTTTCTGCTCTGTGAGTCTCAAGAGACAGAACTGACCCGAGATGACTATTGTTAGTGCCACAGCTTTGATTAAATGAACTTCATTGTGACCCTAGAGTGATGGTCTTTCCAATGAGAAGCAATGCGAATACTCAGAGATACGACACTGCTTCAAGATAATTGTCTCAGATTCCACAACCATATGGGGTGAAATCATCCAGGAACTATTAACAGATTTCTATATTCTAGATTAAGCGTGTGGTAGACATGGGTTTTAAGATTTAGAATTAATTCAAGTTAATAAGAGTTTCTGTACATATTCCCTGCACTACTTTCTAGGACATTCTTAAATCTTATATAGTTTTTCTCCTATAAAGTTCATGTGTTAAATTTGAAAAAATAACACATTTGTTTTTAAAAAAGCATATAAATGTTTATTTGTCCTTCAACTGATGCATTTCCAATAATGTTTTTTTGCAATAATTTAATTTTTTGTATTTTAACCAGGCAAAACCCACAGCATTTTGAAGTCAATAACCCTACAGAAGAGTTGTTCTGAGCAAGAAGTAATTTTATTCCATTTATCAAATAGAACCTTAGTTACCATGAACATGTGACAAACTACTCAGTAAGAAAAATATTTCATTACTTGTACATGTGTATAAGACATTGGCTATTACGAAGCTTGGGCTTTTTAAATTTTGGGGATTGGAAAATCATTTTATTTATATATAACATAGTTACTTTTTCAAATAAAGTATTATAAAGTAAAAGTTTTCTACCTTTTCAAATAGATTATTTAGCATTCTAGTTTCTTTATAATTATAAAATGCTTTATAAGTTTCTTTTATGATACTTTATGACTAGTGATGTATTTGGCCTAAATTTATGCTATTATGCTACTAAAATGAATGCTTCTATTTAAAATGTTTAGTGAATCAAATTTATTCAACTTGAAAAAAATGACTTATGAACAAATTTTATCTTGATCAATTCTATTTTCAGTGTAAATATCACCTCAGAATTAGGGGCTGATAAGTTTTTTTACAATAGCATTTTAAAATTTCAAACAGTTAATTTCTTGAGAACTTATATGTAAATCACATTTTAAACTTCACCAAAGGACTCTTTTTAAAGTCAATTCTGTAGTTAAATATTTTCATTATACAAATAATCACCTCTTATCTATATACACACACATGCACGCACAAGTTCACTTATGTATTATACTATAAATAAAACAGGGACATTTTCACGGTGGAACTTAAAGCTTCTCTTTTTGAGTCCTATGGTATTTTCACACAAAAAAGTCAAAGAAGATAATTCTTTGAAGATGCCAAATGTACATGCCAAATTTGGGGATTTCCTTTCTTTAATTGTATAAAATGACTAATTTTGAACATGTAACTAAGAAATACTTATGACAATGATATCAGTACAACTGTAGTAGAGAGAAAAATATTTTCTTTAATGCTTGAAACATATTGACCTTCTGGAAAACTTGACAATATCAAAAAAGGAATTAATGAGAGATGATGTGATGGAAAATAAAAAATTAACAATTTTATTCATAATTGTGGATTACTGACTTTTCCTGTCTCCTCACAATTCACTAATAAAAATTCTCTGATAGAAATCTTCAGGATAAAATCTTCAAATTCCATTCTATAAATACTAGAAAATAAGTATAACTGGCAAATCACCATACTCTGCGAAGGGCTCCTCAGTGAAAGTCAATATTCAGATTAAGTATAAAGAAAAAAACTATATAAAGATGTATAATTGATAATACCAAAGATTTTAATACATTGGGAAGCCCTGGAGATGTTACTAGGTGCTATTTATTTATTGTCTACCCAGGCTTAGAGTGACATCACCAGGATGGCCGTGTGTCTGGGCACTCTTGTGAGTCAGCATTCTCTACTGTTCATTCCATGAAGATGCTTAGCTGACTAGGATGAATTGTGCTGCGGCGTCCTACTGTCTTAAATTCACGTATGACGCGGTTTGGAACCTGCCCTCAGGGGCTCCCTCCTCTGGTTTCTGCAGTGCTGCTTCCCCAAACCCCTCCACGTACCTTTCCTTTCAGCTGTCTCAGCCCTGGTCAGGTAGTAGTAGAAGTGATCCAGCTTGTCAGGCTGCTCTTCCAGGGGTCTCTGTGCCCAGGAGAGGGATCGGACCCTCGCAGCCTCCCTCAGGGCATCCCACTTCTCTGCCAGAGCGAAGAGCTCGGTAAAGGACTTATGATAACCATCCCGCAGCATGTCCACACAGACGTTCTTCTTGTACGAGTTCCGGTAACTGGGAATAAGAATCAGAACACTGAACTCATTATGTTAATCCTTCAAATCTTTTCATTTTTTTGATCCTATAATAATTAAAGGTTGGATCATGCTGGCCCCCCCCTTTTTTTCCCTCAGTGAAAGGGTTGAAAGCTATCTTGACCTCAAACACTTATAAGTGAATAACTCCAGTTTAATGAAAGATGCCAAGAGCTATCTAAATATAGCAATTTTAGGGAAATTACATTATAAATATTATCAGTTCCAGAGCTGAGCTCCTTTTGATAAGGACAAATAAGCTAGATGACGGATGTCTCAGTCCATTTGGGCTGATGTAGCACAGTGTGCAGTCCATGGGGTCGCAAAGAGTCAGACCTGACTGAGTGACTGAACAACAACAGAATACCACTAACTGAGTAGCTTATAAACAACTGAAATTTATTGCTCACAGTTCTGGAGGCCAGAAGTCTAATAAGATCAAGGCTCCAGGAAGGCTGCCCTTCCTGGTTCACAGCCTGAACTTTCTAGTCGTGTCCTCACATAATGTAAGAAGCTAGAGCACTCTCTGGAGTCTCTTTTATAAGAGCACTAATGCTATTCATGAATGCCCCACCCTCATGACCTTCTAAAACCTTCTAAAAACCCCATTTACCTACACTTCTACACCTTCTAAAAACCCCATTTCTAAAAACCCCATTTCTAAAAACCTACACCTTCTAAAAACCCCATTTACCTACACTTCCAGGGACTGGGATTTCAATATATGAATTTTAGGAACACAACTCTCAGACCACAGCAATTGACAATATCCAAAAATACTTAATAAGTTAGTCTCCCACCAAAACAACACAAAAGGCCAGTAAGGCAAACAGAATTTAAATGTGTCATTGAATGCTACAACAAAGCTCTATTAAGTAGTTTCCCTGTATGTTATGAAGGTTCATTCATTTCTTCATTTATGCAGAAAAAGTTTATGGATATCTCTTGCTAAATATATTTTTTAAATTATATTCAGTTAGGATTAGGTTAATGACTTGTTAAGATTACGACTTCACTTCTAACAATAATAAATCATATGCAAAGAGATAAAATGACAATTGACTGTTGTTGTTGTTGTTGTTGTTTGGCCACTCAGTCGTGTCTGACACTTTGCAACCCCATGGACTGCAGCACTCCAGGCTTCCCTGTCCATCACCATCTCATGTCCATTGAATTGGTGATCCCATTCAATCATCTCATCCTCTGTCATCCTCTTTTCCTCCCGCCTTCAATCTTTCCCAGAATCAGGGTCTTTTCTAATGAATCAGCTCTTTGCATTAGGTGGCCAAAGCATTGGAGTTTCAGCTTCAGCATCAGTCCTTCCAATGAATATTCAGGGTTGATTTCCTTTAGGATTGACTGGTCTCATCTCCTTGCAGATCAAATACACTATTCAAACAATTGAATAGTGTATTTATTTATTCAGTCAATAGCTATTGAGTTTCCTATTAAGTGCCAGGCACTGTTCTAGATCAAATAGATTCAGTACCCTTGTGAAGTGTATATTCCAGTAGAAGAACACAATCAACAAATAAGTAAACAAATTATAAAAAATTTCAGAGCATGAACATTGCTATATAGGAAATAAACAGGGCTATGAATAGATGTGTTGTGGTTATTATTCTACTAAGCAAGTAATCAGAGGCCAAATGATATCACTTTATACTAATTATCTTACATTTTTAAATAGGGGACAATTAAATATTTAGAACTGATGTGGTATTACTATCAATAAACATTTCAGTGTGGAGTGGTGACAGTCTAGAATTAGAACCCCTGAGGTTCAGGCCATTTCTTCCTAACTTTTCTGGACTTCACTTCTTCTCATCTGTGAAATATGTATACTAATCTGTGCTATACCTATATCACAGGATTCTTCTAAGAACCAAGCAAAATTATGCATGTGAAGATTCTCTGAGAAACATGAAATCTGACAACAGACTCACCCTACAGAGTTTAAAAAGCAAACAAAACAAAAATGCCCAGGTGCCATACACCCAGAATTTGTTACTCAGTGGGTCAGCTTTGCTATAGAACTAAATACATACAGTGATGAGGAGATGAGTGGGAAAAGGGACGGTTAAAAAAGGGGGAGGGCAGAACCCATATTGTGGAGGCCTCAGAGTACAGGAAGTAGTTTGGACTCCAAGCTAGGAGTGGGATAGAGTCATAGAAGTATTTGAGTCTGGGAAATGACTCAGTGAGATTGTATTGGGTTGGCCAAAAAATTATTTGGGGTTTTTCTGTAAGCTACATGGAAAAACTCAAACAAACATTTTGGCCAACCCAATATATTAGAAAAATTACTTGGAAGTGGATTCCCAACTAAACTGCAATCCTCAACCTAGTGGCCAATGCAAGGCACCTATTGTTACAGGACTAGTCCATAAAGAGAGTAAGGAAACCATATTTCCAGGTTCACAAGTCAAAGGCCACCATCTTGTCAAACTGATGACCAAAAATATTTGAAATGGAGAAGAGAGAAGCAATCACAGATTTTTGCTTCTGCCTTCTGGCCAAGAGTGTGGAGAAGGAAAGCGTGAGATGTAAGAAGAATCAGGTTGTGTCTCTCCCTACGCACGCCCACCCCCCCAACCCCAAGACAGGGCATGGAAAGGCAGCAAAAGTCACTGCAGCCAGTTTATTAGCAGAAGAAAACCAGAACCAGCCCACGTGATGTCCCATGGCCCCTGGACAGTATGGACCAAAGACCATAAATTGTCTGGTGACCTCCATGTGTGACATCAAAGTTAATGGGAAGAGAGGGCTGGTGTGTCTGCCACAATGTCACTGGCCCTAGCAAGGGCATGTGTGCTAAAAGGCTGTCGGATGTGCTGCCCACTGGGGACTGAATGGGGACACAGCTGTAACTCTGTGAGTAAGAAGCACTGGGGTGCTACTGAAAGAGTCAGGTCAGCACATTTCGAGAGCTGACAGAAAAGGATGAATCAAGTGCATCAGTGACAGAGCCCGGGACAGCACCCCAGAGGTTAGGAACCCATTCAACTCCAAGGAAGAGAAAACCCGGCTCGTGGTGCCTTCGAAACTAAAGTTTGCACTGCTCACAGCACAAGATGCCTAAAGGTAGGCAGCTGTTAGCCTTGGTTCCATAGCCTGGCAAGTTCAAGGCCTGTGCTTCAGGGATTATTTCCTTCCTGTCCTTGGTCACTGGAGGGCTGCCCCAGTCTAGACATCATGTCCACCTTCCAGGCAAGAAGAAAGGGGATAGGCGGGTGACATCAGTTGTGTCTTTCTCTATTACTGGGAATACTTTTATTCCTAAAACTGCTATTGGAATCCCACTTTGTTCCACTGGCGAGAACAGTGTCACATGGCCAACCCTGGCTGCAAAGACTAGAAAAACAAATGTCCTGCATGTCTGGAGGCATGTTGTGGCCCCAGATGAAACTGGAATTGTGTTAGCAAAGAAAGCAGAAATGGATGCCAGGTGAGTTGAGAGTCTATCACAAGGTCCTAGATCAAGACCTGGGAGTAAATGCTGACAAATCCCCTCTCCCGAGCTTGCCAGATAAAACTGGGCAGGATACCCAGTAAAATATGAATATCAGATAAACCACAAATGATTTCTTTGTATTAGTGTATCCCGAATATTGCATGGGAATACTTAGACCAAAAAGAAATTTTTTTTTTGAAATTTGAAGTGTACCTTGTATTTTTATTTGATAAACCTAGGAACCCTATTTCTTTCTCCCTGGCATCAGTGCTGTGTTCTTGGTACCAGTGTTGTGTTGTTTCTATATAGGAACACAGGGCGATGGGAAGGAGTGCGAGACTCTGAATAACCTGAGAAATCACTGAATTGGACTGACTTTATCTAAGAGGGATGAGGTTGGATTTTTACATTAGGGAGAATCAAGGCTTAGGATCAGGAATTAAAACTAAGTTATTAAAAAAAATAAAGACTTTCAATTTACCATCCTTGAGCTTGTGACTCTGAAATTCACACTAGATGCAGGAGAATGGCTGGAAGGAGGGTAGAACCGGGAACAGCGAGGAGAGACAGGAGACACTGGTGTTCATGGACAGGAGAGGCCATGGACTGAACTGAAGTTAAGGCAGAGGGACACACAGAAGTAGGTGGGTTTGAGACATTCAGGATATAAAAATACTGAGTGCTTGGGGACTGAGTGGATGTTAGGGCTGATGGAAAGAGAACAGCTAGGATGACAACAAGAGTTTTGGGGTGGGCAGTTAGTAATTTACTAAAGGGCATGTGTGTGTGCTAAGTTGCTTCAGTTTTGTCCAACACTTTGTGACCCCATGGACTGTAGCCCACAAGCTTCTCTGTCCATGGGGATTCTTCAGGCAAGAATACTAGAGTGGTGCCATCTTCCAGGTCTTTGCGTCCCAGGGATCGAGTCCATGCCTCTTATGTCTCCTGCAGGCCGATTCATTACCACTTGTGCCACCTGGGAAGCCCAATTTGCTAAAGAGGGGAACACAAAAGGATGACTAGGTTTGGGGAAGGGTAATAAGAGTGGGTTCAGATAATTTGAGTTTGAGGCACCTGAAGGGGACATCCAAGAGGTACCCAAAAGATAGCTTGGGGGATGGTAAGGAAGTTTGAGAGGTCAGGGGGCTGGAAATCCAGCCTTGTGTCAAATAAGCACTGCCACATAGAGAATAAGTTTATGGTTATCAAAAAGGGAAGGTGAGGGGAGGGATAAATTAGGAGTTTGGGATTAATAGATACACACTGCTGTGTATAAAATAGATCAGCAACAGGGACCTATTGTGCAGCACAGGGAACTATATTCAACATCTTGTGATAACATAATGAAAAAGGATCTGAAAAATAATATATATACGTGTGTGTGTATAAATTATAAATAAATAAAAATTAGATCATCGATTTAAAACAGTGGTCCCCAACCTTTGTGGCACTAGGGATCAGTTTTGTGGAAGACAATTTTTCCATAGACCAGGGGGATACAAGGGATGCGGAACGGCTGTAAATAC